ATTTGGCACAGTTAGCCTTGTTTCAGAGGAAGATACCACTGTGCCCTAAAATAAAATTTGCTTAACACTTGAAAATAAGACAAAGATGAGCTCATTTCAAAACCAAGGATGTTAAAATATTTATAAAAGTTTCTAAAATATATGTTATGAAATGAACACTTCCAGAATGATTTTTTGAACCATGTGAGGCTCTAAGAGTAATTAAACTTTCAAAATAAATTATTCTTGATCAGTGAAAGTACCAGCTCATTCATTTATTTGGATAATTGATGCAAGTATGTCAAGTAGGGAGAGGTCAGGGTTCACCAGTTCTTCATAATTGTTCATATTTGGAAAGTTTTTCTATTCTAACTACCAGATTTGATGATTCTTGTTTTGCACCTGCCACCTGTATTACTCTCTCTTTATGTATACTGGTTAAGGGGACTTTGTGGGTTTTTTTCTTAATTCTCTCCAGAAAACCACTACCAACAGGAAATTCCAGTACCCAAAACAACTTGTTCTCCAGGTCTCTGTGACATATCAGTCTTCCAGATCTCTGATTTCATAGAGATTTGATTGATTTTCGACATAACTAAGTCTATTTTTATGAGGGCATGTGGATTTCAGGTGATCAGGCAGCCACTTCAATAATGTGTGGTATCTCCTATGAGACCAATTTACAAGTGGTGCATAAAATAAAACATATGTGAAGTAAAGGGTGCTCCCGAATAAGGAAACTTTAGAATCTGAAAGCATAGCAAATCAACTGACGATTCCTATTACTTTATTTTACTTTCTTTAAAATGGAGATGATGATAATACTATCTAATGTGCTTATTATGGAGAAAATGGTACTGCAGTTGCTAAGCACTAATATACTGATGTGCTAATAGTGAAGCTTTAGCAGAGGATTTTGTCTGGATTTTGACCAGGATACAAAGAGATTTGTGTTAATATTAAATTGTATGGGAGTTGCTCTTAGCTTTGCAACATCGAGGAAATATCTGCTTTCATGTTTGGTAAACTTCCAGGTTAAGTCATTTATAAGGAGAAAACCACTTTCATTTTAAGAACAGGTGAGCCTGATAAATGAAGCATCTCTTCAACAGTCCAGTGTCATTTTATTTTTCTAAGTTCATTTTAAGCCTTGAATTGAACATTAACAAATGGTTATAAATTATTATACATACAGAAGCAAAGTGAATGGCCAATCTGAGAAGATGAGTTTATCTGTACTCTTGGGTAGCTGCTACCATTTGCTTGCAATCTCACTATAGTTACCATTGTGAGGAGAATAGTCAGTCATAGTTGAAGATATAAAATAAAATTGAAAATTGAATTGGAAGGTAATTTTACTTTCAAATGGTTTGCAAATGTAGATGTTAAGTGTGAAGTGAATGCAGTTAATGACCATAGCTGGAAGAGTTATGCACCTGCTGATCACAGGAATATTATTATAAATGAGGTTGATTTTCTTGTTGACTACCTCATTTTTCTCAGCATGGTCTCATTACTTTTCTATCACATGTCTGACCCTTAGATATAAATACTCAAGCACACACATAATAAAAATACATTAACTCCTGTATAGATTTTTTGAAAATCAAGATGTGTGCTGCAGATGTTTCTTGCCTTTGTAGGTTTAATGTAGGTTCTACTTTTGGATAACAGGAAAAAAAAAAAAAAGTTGAGTTTCACCAGAAGTACTCGAGTCATTTTACAACTGAGAGATCTAATGTTCTAACTCCTGTTGTCTGAATTATTTCAGAAAAGTGTTTCTTCAGACCTGTGCTGTATTTTTGTTTTCCAATAAGCAATGTAACTGGAAAGTCTGGAAGTAACACTAACTCTTACATAATTATCTCCTTCTCTTAGGAAATAAATTATTTTACAGAATTTTTAGGACACCTTTCTTTAATTTTACCTCTTCAAATGTTTTAAAACTATTATTTGAAATAAATCATGTATCTTTAAGTGTGATTATAGGTATGTATCTAAGGTTTGCCCCTTTTTTATAGCACATATATCATCATAAAAAACTCTAATGTTAGACTTATATGATAGAGTCTGATATAAATGTATATATTTTTAGCTAAGTGAATGTGTTCAGTGTTACATTTTGGGATGTAACTGAGCTGTAGATACACCAATGGCCTTTCTGTAACTAAGGTACCTACTTTTTTTAAAGGAGGGACAGAGATAAATCTATTCATATAACAAATAAATAATACAATTTAAACATATTGAACTAATATTATGAAGTGAGCTTATGTATTTATTGCCAGTTGTTTGAAGATATGCAGGACCTAATTCCCAGCTCTTACTGCTCTGTTGTAGCATCATTTAAACCAACATTTGCTACTGAGAATTACCTAGTTTGAGTTTCAGTATTTTTATTTGCTTTTCAGCACTCAGATTACTGCAATTAGCTGGTTCCACAGCACAGTTGCTCAGCTCTACATGTAACCAGGAAATTTAGGGAGTTTCAGGCAACCACTTCTCCTGTACTTTGGAGTTCTTTGGTGCATCAATTTCTTAGCACTTCTGAACATCAAGATTTAGAGTGGAGAGTTCCTGAGAACTATGTCCATAGGTTTTTCACCAAAAGCAATATGGGAAGCAAAGTGATGGATGGAACTAAGCCTTGATCAGGGGCACAGGTTTAGCTGTGTGGCCAACTTGCTGGTGATTTTACGTGAATTATTTTACATCTTGCTTAAATTTCTTCAAAAGTAAGATCAAGTCCCAGGATTGTAAGACACTTATAGGTCTTCTGATGAAAGCACTTTTCAAGGACTTGATGGTATAATTTGTCAATTCATAAATATATATGCAGCTGGTACTGGAATCTGTTATGTCAAACGACAGCAATGGTGAGGATATCGTGTTCTTTCCTTGGCACAGTAGGGAAATTTCTGCTTTTGAAGTGTTTGTGATTTATGAGGAACTGCTAGTCTTTCAGAATGAAACAGCTAGTAGGCTCTTCCACTCTGTTTTGATTTGCCCACCCATGTTAGGAGTTTGCCCACCCATGAATAGATTAAAGATCAGGTTTGTCTGTAAGGGAGAGGAAAGAATCAGCAAGTTCTGGAGAGCTGGTGAACAGTTTGCTTTGCATGATGTTCTTAATGACTGTGGGGGAACAAGAAGGTGCTTCTGTATTTTTATTGCTGTACTAGTAGAACCTTTTCATGTTTACATACTTGCAGTATTTTTTGTACTGTCCTTGGTTGAACTCTCAAATTGCCATATCAGCTGAAGTATGTAACTTGCTCCAGAGTTAATGCCTTCTTAAGTTGACCTAAGAAAAGCTAAGAATGTTTTAGAGTGTTTATCTGCAAATTTTGGGTGACAACATTTCATTAGTTAAGCTACAGGTAGTCCTTAACTAATGAAAAATTGTTTTCAGTAATAAAGTTTAAAAACAAGTCTACAGTGCAGTCTCACAATTTTAAAGTAAAACCCAGCATCTGAATAGTGATAATGAATAATTACTTTTAACGACTCTACGTAGTGACAAAAAGTTGTTTATTGTAATTTTTGTCATCTTCTCAGAGGGGTGGCTAATTACAGAGAAATACCCATCTGTTAGAAATAGGCTTGTTCAAAAATAATAGGTAAATTAATCATTGTTTCCCCATACATTAGGCATATTTTCCCAGATTTCAGCCTTTAAAGTTTTGCCTGTGCTCTGGAGTAATAATGTAGGACTGTTGGGGGATGTCAGGGTTGTGCTGCTGTTGTGGTTTAACCCCAGCAGGCAGCTGAGCCCCACACAGCTGCTCTCACTGCTCCTGCAGAGGGTTGGGGGAGAGAATATACAAGGATAAAAGTACAAAAACTCGTGGGTTGAGATGAAGACTGTTTAGTAGGTAGAGCAAAAGCTGCACATGCAACCAAATCTAAATAAGGCATCTGCTCCTTCCCACGGGCAGGCAGATGTTCAGCCACCTCCAGGAACTCAGGGTTTCATCATGTGTAATGGCTACTTGGGAAGACAACATAACTCTGAACTTCCCCCTTTCCTTTTTTCCCCACAGTTTGTATTGCTGAGCATGACACCATAGGGTCTGGAATATCCCTTGGGTCAGTTGGGATCAGCTGTCCCAGCTGTGTCCATTCCCACCTTCTTGACCCCCTCCCAGCCTCCTCACTGGCATGGTGGGGTGAGGAGCAGAAAAGGCCTGGACTCTGTGTAAGCCCTGACCAGCAGTAATGAAAACCCCCCTGAGTTATCAACCCTGTTTCCAGCACAAATCCAAAGCATAGCCCTATGCAAGCTACTCTGAAGAAATTTAACTGTATCCGAGCCAAAATCAGTACAGCTACTTACAAGAATTGAAGAAACAGAACATAAAAATGACCCTGTTTATCATTTTAAAGGAAACCTAATTTTTTTTTGTGATCATGGCTGTGGTCTGAATTTATTAGAAATATTCAAATTCAGTGTCCTTGATGTCTTTGTGAGATGACCTGAATAGTGAGCAATAAACTTCTGCATTATAATTCACAGTTGAAGATATGTCCTCAGGAAGTAAAATAGACAAGCAATGTATTGTGTTTACCTTTAAGCTGACAAACAGTCTATGTAAAGTGACAGAGGCATTTTTAGGAAAAGAAAGCAAATAATGTTTTTCTGGTTAGCAGGCCCCAAGATAAGACAAGTTTAAGGGGCCAAAACATGTGTGATTATTAAAGGCTACTGGGTTCTCAGTTCAAACAAATTGAATTCTTTCATAGTCTGAAGGGCTGTGGAAATCTAGCAAAGAGTGTAGACTGCTGAAATAAAATTTGCATGTAGAGTGATTTTATATATGCAGGGCTATAGCCACCAAATTTGAATTGGAGAAAGAAATCTCATTACTCATCTTGTAAAAGAAGTAATTCTTAAATTCCATATTTGCTATCACTGACATAAAAGTTCTGCATATGAATATATTTTCTATGATTTCACAAAGATACTGGATTATTGAATTGACAAAGATCTGTTCCATTCTCTCCTGCCTTTTCTTTTATAGGATAACCGATTTAGGCAATATTAAAAGAAGATTGTATTTGTCAACAGTCCACAAGGAGTTGTCTGTAACCCCTCTGCATGCAAAAATTCCTCTGTTTATGATCAAGCGCAAAATAGTAGGTACCTTGGGAATATTCCTCGCGCTGTGGTTGAGCATGCTTTTTAATCAGGAATCTTTTATGGATGTTTATAGACTTGTTGAAATTATGGTTTGGTTTAGAACTCAGTTCCTACTGATTTCAAGACACGTGTATGTGTCCCCTCTACCAGGTGGCAGCAGAACTACTTAATACTACTACTCCTCTATCCTTCTTCCTGTATTAGGAATTCATTCCCCTTTCCCAAGAGTAATGCTCTTTGTGATGTATTTCTCTCTCCTGTTGATTCAGCCTTTGTAAAATTTGCTGTGTCCCTGATACTTCACATCATAGGGCTCCTGTTCACATGTCCCTTCTCCTGCAGTGACCTTTGATTACATTCTCTGGAGCTGCAGGTAGACTGTAGCTGATGGCTGCTCTCACATTCTTCAGGTTCTTCCTAATTCTGGCATATATAAAACAAAGCATATGTCAAACTGTTGAAAATAAAACAATAACTGTCATCTTCTCCCTGTCCCCCTTTCCCATGCCCAGCCACCACATATGGTAATAGCTGCCAGGATACAAAACCTGACGGTTACCACATAGCCATGTGAGGACTGAAGTCTCAAATACTGCTTTAGAAAATAAATTTCATACGAGAATAGTTAGATTTCAAATATTTTAAAATATTATTTGCACTGAGAGAACTAGATAACAGTATACTGAGCAGCTGTGAATTTAAGGCTAGACATGAGAGGGAATATTTTACAAAAACTTCTGAAGTTATACTTTTTTTAAGATAGCTTAGGTGAAGGCAGCTGTGAGAACTACGAGCATCTGTGTTTTTAAACATCAGAAACTCTAAATGGAAAACATAAAGCCACAAGAAAACATACTTGGTTAGTTCTTCTGGTTTTGCTATTTTTTTGTATGAAATCTCTGTTTTTTTCTAGGACGATCATGGAATTGTAATATGGTTTACATGCAAAATAGATACCTGTAGCTGCACTCCTGTATTATAAAATACGGCAATAGACAAATGGTGAATTAAGTGGAAAAAAGATTAAAATTGAGAGAATTTGAACAGTGGAATAGTGCAGGAGAGTGTAGCACATTGATGTTAGTGTTCTAAGAGTGTTTCCTGAACCAAATAACCATCTAATGAGAATTAAAATGGGTATTTAAGTAGGATCTTTAGCAACTCAGGCAATTGCCATTTTCTGATTTGCCTTTGGAAAGTAGTAGTTTTAAGATGTTGTGATACATTGCACTCTAGTCCAAACTAGGAGTTTACCGGATAGTTTCATTATGGAAGGGGTGCCAGTTTTGGAGAGGTCCTTTTGTTGTGAATCTCAGAAAGAAATCATCAAAGAATCTCAAACTTAAACTTCAGTAGCTCTAACTTACGAAGTAATACTGGATAATGATTCTTGTTGCCCCCAAGAAATCCTTCAATAAATATGCTTTCTTACAACTTAGCTGCAAAACATATCGTGGATATGCTGTGCTGAACTCCCTTGGGCTGGCAGTCACTAGGTCATACGTCCTTATCTGTTTGTAAAAGTAATTGTTCAAAATGCAAATACAGCAATATCTTATTTTGATATCAAAATGTTCTGCATTGTGAATCACAGCCTGTGAGAATCTAATACTCTGCTGACACCATTTGTAGAGAACTATACACTCATACTCTTCTGCAGTGATTAGTGTCAGGGTTTTACTAAAGAGTATTGTTTCTCTTTTCTAGTGGTGCAATATGTGTATTGACTTGGCAGCATTCACCAGTGAAATATTCAGAGGAGCTGTCTTCCAGTCTTTGGATGGAATTATTATTTCAGCTAACTGTAAGCTACGAAAGATCTTCACTTTAAAATCCAAGCCAGAAGATACAGCTGAGGAAAATGGTGTGTTTTAATTACTATCTTCTCTTGATCATAACTGTTCACGTAAAATCAAAAGCTTCTTTTTCGTCAGATTGGCAATTTGAAAGATTACATGATTTCATGGAAATTAAGGTAGTAGCACAGCATATTAAATCTGCCAGTGACAGACACATATTTAATTAGTTAATTAAATATGTGTGTACTCCTCTGTTTTAAACATTGAATTCCTTAGAAGTATTTTATTGAACAAATTCAGGTAAGATTTATCAAGTAGAGAGCTTGTTTTAATGAGGGTCTCTTATGCTGATAGAAATCAGGTTTTGGCCAAGAAGAGAGTGTCTGAAAGGAAAGAGAAATACTTAAAACTTAGCAACATTTGCTGTTTGTTTTCTTAATTTTGGACATTAGCAGCTGATGAAAGATTTCATCTTTAAATAATCCAGGAAAAAACTGTTACAAAACAATATTATGTGAAACAGAGCTATGAAACTATCATAAACACCTCTGATCTTATGTCCATTTATCCTCATGTGTCCTTGTTTATTGGGAAAATAATGTTGGTGGTGAACTGAAAAATGAGAAGTCTTTTTTTCTGTGATAGAGCAGGATATTGGTCGAAGTTTAGCAGTCTCCATGCTAGCATCATAATTCTGAATCATCCTTTTCCAAGGGAGAGAACTGCATTCCTCACTGGTATTTGCAGTAATAGAAGAGGAATTGCAAAAGCACAGCTGGCACTTTCTTATTTTAAAGGCACCCTAGGTATAGTTCAGCTTCAATTTCATTCACATTTTCATTTTGTGGCTTTTAAAGAACACACCTGAAAAAAGGGGTCTGGTTTCAGAAGGAGGGATAGTCAGCAGTATTGTAAGTGTAACAAAATGTATCTTCCATTTGGAAACCCTAAACCAATAGGGGAGAATAAGCAATCCTTGTGATTACTCCTCTGATTTCTTCTAGGTAAGGCTGGGGAAAAGAAATAATTTTAAAAATGTCTGCAGAGAGAATCTGGTAAATTCTCAGCAGGAAACTGCAGTTAGAGGTCTCACTGGCATTAATTTAATTTAATTCCATTGGTGTATTGTTTTCTCTCTTCCATTCTAAACAGTTTTTGAAATGTGCTTAAATGTTCTAAATGAGTTCCAAAATTCTAAAATGTAGTTAGCATAATGAGTAGACAGCTTTAATAAACTGTGTGCGTAGTAAAATACTGTACTTTTAATTACTTCATTATCAATTCTATGATTATTACACAGCTGGTGGGCATTAGTATTTTCTGTATATTTATGAATTTCCTCATCTAGGCAATTCATGGGATCACAGAACTGTTTAGGCTGGAAAAGACCCTTAAGATCATCAAGCCCAACCATTAACCTAGCACTGCCACCACTAACCCGTGTCCCTGAGAGCCACATCCAGGGATAGTGACTCCACCACTGCCCTGGGCAGCCTGTCCTAGTGCTTGACAACCCTTTCGATGAACAAATTGTTCCTAATATCCAATCTAAACCTCCCCTGGAACAACTTGAGGCCATTTCCTCTTGTCCTGCCGCTTGTTACCTGGGAGAAGAGAGCAACACCCACCTCACTACAAGCGATAAGATCTCCCCTCAACCATTTCTGAAGGCTGAACAACCCCAGTTCCCTCAGCTTCTCCTCTGGTCTTGTTCTCTGGACCCTTCTTAAACTTACATTGCAGCTGAAGGTTTGGCTGAATTAAAATGATTCTACACTTCCTACCCAATTACAGAAAAACAACAGTAAGGGCTTTTTTGTTATTATTAATTAAGTTTCAGATAACAATCACTATTTGATAAAGCTTTTGCCCTCTCAGATGATTGGACCAGTTAGTTGAGCTCCACTGAATGCAATGACTTTGCGATTTGTAATGAGAGTTGTCATGCTTTAGCCCCAGCCATCAACTAAACACCACACAGCTGCTCACTCACTTGCCCCCTGTGGGATGGGGTCGAAAAGTGGAAGGGTAAAAGTAGGAAAACTCATGGGTTAAGATACAAACAGTTTAATAATTGAAGTATTATAAATTGTAATGTAAGGGGGGGGGGGGAGAAAAATAAATCTCTAGAAAAACAAATTATGCAAATGAAAAACAGTTGTTCACCAGCAGCAGCCCCCTCAGTCAGCTTTCCCTCTAGTTGATATGTTGAGCACATTGCCATATGGTCTGGAGTATCCCTTGGGTCATTTGGGGTCAGCTGTCCCTGCTATGTCCCCTCCCAGCTCCTTGTGCACTCCCAGCCTCCTCGCTGGCAAGCCAGCATGGGAAGCTGAGAAGTCCTTGTCTCCTTGTCTTAGTGTAAACACTGATGAGCAACAACTGAAACATCAATATGTTACTAACACTTCTCATCCCAAATCCAAAACACAGCACTGTACCAGCTACTAGGAAGAAAATTAACTCTATCTCAAAAGAAGCCAGGACAAGGGTCGAGTTCTTTGATTCAACCTCCTTGTGGTTGAAGCAGTGGTTTCAAAGTGCAGTGAGTGTGTTACTCTTTTTAAGCAGCAAGTTTACAATATGCTTTGTGTTCTTAAAATGATAGCAAATGCAAAGGAGAAACCACTTATACTAAGAAATTATTTCTGTATGAGATCATTGAGATAGAAGAAGAAATAATTCATCTTCTCTGCCCCATGATACTGAAGTACACAAGTTTAATCTATATCTAGTTTCTGGTTTCCATAGTAATCCCAAAGTTCTGTGTGGGGTTTTTATCACTAAGTATTGTCCAACAGTGATAAATAATGTACTGGCTTGGCAAAAAAAATGGTTGAAAAAATACGTCCACTACTGAAGCACAATATGGAACACTTGAATTTTTTTATTAGTATCTCAATAATCGATCCATTGTTCAAGTTTGGGGTTTGGGTTATGTTTTCCTCTTCTTATCCTTGGAAAATGTGCTAATATTCGTTTCCTTACTATATTCAAGTCTTCTAGAATTTGGAAGGAATTGACATCATAACATGGTTCTGACATGGATTCCTTTCTTCAAAGAGAATAGCTTTCATAAACTCAGTGTATATTGGTTATCAAAGGGAAAGCAGAGATAGTCAGATCACATTCTACTAGTACCTGATGTCACAGGAATAGATAGGTTGACAGCTTTTCAGTTTATCATGAAAGTGTAATGGCGTCCAAATTTTGAAATTAAAGCTTGTGAAATTCTTTATTTGCATATATGGGACTTCTCCTTTTGCTACTTCAGTACCACTGGTATAAATACCATTTTCAGTGTTCATTTTATATAAAAATCACTATATCAGTATTACAATTAAAGCTGAATTGTAATAAAAATTATAAAAAATGTATTTTGTGGTTCTGTTTTGCTTGTATACTGGAGAAATCAAAGAAGATGATTTCAAAGAAGTTGATTTTCTTTTCCAGCCACTAGTGTATATTACTTTAACTGCATTTCAAAATTTTTTGACCTAAAAATTTACACGATATAATTGTAAAATTTACATGCTTATTGTCTTAAAAGTGAACAATTACAGCAAATTTTTCAAATTACTATAGTCTACTAAATTGTTGTAGCCATATGAACTAAAGTATATGTAATCTACCAAATAATGTGAATTGAATTTAATTCCATAATGTCACGGGAGTGAAGTAAAGCCCATGTTTTTTGATTCTAGTTAAGCGTGTTGTTCCATCTGTGCCACGTGATCCCACAGATGTTATTCCTCGAACCTGTCAGCTAAATAGAGATGTGCCACAAGTTACTCAAGTGCTGAACCTAACAAAAATTCAGAAGCCAGAAGTAAAATGTAGGGAATATCCGGTGCAAGAAACAGGTATTCTGTTGTATTAAAATACTGTGAATACGATCGATACAGTATGTGTACAAATAATGGATGTTTTTGTAAAAGTTCCAGTGTCTTAAAATAAAACGTGACAGCTCCTGCAGAGCTGCAGTGCCATGAGCACATAGACTGTTTTGTACTTTGAGATCTATGTGCAGTCTGAACAATTCTAATTCAGGTGTGGGGTTTATAATAGTATTTGAGATATGTCATCTGAATGTACATTGAAGCATTGTACAGTGAAGTTGGTACACTTCTTTTTGAACTGTTCACATAAATGAAACTCTTCTGACAACATGACTATGCAGTCTCCTCAGCTTATACTCTGAAATAGGAGATCTTGTATTATTGGTGTCTCAGAATTATTTGAATGTTTCCGTAAGCTACAAGATAATAAACCATATAATTCAGATTTTGGCAGCATTGCATAGAAGAGATTTATTAAACACATTGGGCAGTCATGTGCTAATACAAACTATTGACTAGGGTAAAAAGTAAGAGAAAGAAAAGAGAGGATTAAATTTTAAATTATTGTTCCAGCTGAAGGCTATCAACAGGAGACCTCAAAAGTGGTTTTTTTTTCTAGGCTTTGTATTGTTTGTTATAGTTATGAATAATCTCAACAGAGATCTGAATTATATGGGATAAAAATTGTGATGTGATACAGATACTAGTTTAATATAAAGAGTGGGACTTCAGAGAGTTTTAAACTTGTGAGATGGGCAATCCCCTATGTGCTTTTTCATGAAGAACAGTACAGACCAGGTAACATGCAGGAAACATCATAGTCTGTGAAGCAAGGTTTCAGTTTACTGGTTTTATTTCTTGTGGCCACCGTGTTGAAAAATTATGGTCTAGGGACCACTGTACTGGGTAAATGTGTAACATGATACCCTGTAAAGTCTAGCTTTGCTAAATGCAAAGGATTGTACACTGGAGAGGAATGTTAACTGCTGTTAAGATTTGAAGTATCAAAATTAAATGACTCAAGGAAGGAAGGTTATCATCACCATAGATACAGCTCAGTAGAATTTTCAGATTTTAATATTTTTTAAAAAACTAAGATAGTAGCAGAAAATTCAAATACATGTGAAATGAAAAAGGTATCAAACCTTTAAATCAGTTTTGCATTATTATCTGAAATACTTTATACATAATCGGTTAAACCATCTCAGAAAAGATTTTACAGACCAAGAAGTGATTCAGGGAGAAGCAGAATGAATGAAAAATTCTCATGTGAAGATAAGCTGAAGTACAAAGAAAGTTCAATAAAAGCTGTTTTTCCTATCTCATGGCACAAAACCAAGAGAAAATGCCCTGTTACACAGAATATGATTAAAATATGGAATCCACTGCTGCAAGAAGCTGGCAAAGAAATTTGTATGATTCCAAAATCAATTGGCCATTTATATGGGTAAGAGTAATGTATTTAGCACCAGTAAAAATGTGAAGGGAAAATTTAATCTTATTCTTCCAAGTTTTTCCACCCTTTCTCTAAGAACTGTGTTGAAGGCAGATGATTTCATACATCTCTGCTGAAATTGTCGTGGGGCATTTCTGAAGCATTTGGGTTTGGCCTTGGTTTGAAACTGGATGTTAAGAGAGATTATTGGCCTGTTCTAGACTAGCACTTCCTGTGGGTTTATGTTTAAATTGGCATGTCTGTCTGCTTAAGATTTGTAAGGCAAGAATCGGTAGAAACTGAACTGGAGATGCAAATGCTAAGATTTGAAATCGTTTAAATAGACTTGGGCCAGAGAATTTACACCTTTTTTACTAAAGCTGCTGTTTTGCTTTAAAACTGTGTATTGTTTCCTACCTGCAGTAACATCAACAGCAGAATTTCACTAAAGCAAATGTCTTTACAGTCCTTATTGTTTTGATTCAAAATACTGATTATCTTTTTAAAACAACTTTGTAATGAGATAGATCATCGTTGAAGAACAGCAGTAGAGAGAGACGTAGATTGTTTGTGTTCATTATTGGAACTCTGCAGTTGTAAAATTATTCATAACCAGTAATGGCCTTAACATAACCATGTAAAGAATGAAATAAAATTCTCAGCTATTGACAAGTTTCTTTGCTAGCTGAACAAAGTCAGGGGGTTTTTTTAATCAGTTTTTTGAGTTTTGAAGACATCAGCTACAATTCCAATGAGGAAATAAATTGATGTAGAAAAAAACCATATTTTTCACCAATGTTCACTAAATTTCATTGATTAGAATTCTAAACATATCAAAAATGTAATTTACTTACTCCCAGGTTATTACTGTTTTTGTAAATCTAGTTGAATGCATGCATAACTGACCTGTGCTCTTTTTTTTTTAAGTTATTCTGTAGATCCATTTGCAATAGTAAATATCTAGAATATTTGCAAGCACTTCTTAAAAATGAGTTATAATGGATTATAATGAGTGCTCTAATTCATGTCTTTCATGGAGAACTGATAGTTTCACTCTTCTTAAAATGTTGGATTGATTATTTTCAGCATAAAATTGAGGAGTACATAAACTTCGTCCTGCTAGAACTTAAAAAAATGCACAGGTGAAATCTATCTCTATAGACACCCTCTTTCCTCTACTCTTTTGTTACGTTATTATTGGCTTTTGAACAAGACACAAGACTAGACCTTTGGTTTAGACCATATAATAGTTGTAATGTCTTACTGAAGTATTTCATTTTCCTCTTGCTCTGTACCACCTTCTACGAGTCACATGATTATACCAAAACAGAGTGGTAGAACATGTTTTGAGAAGGAAGTTGGACTGAAGTAGTTTAGAAGTGGGTCTGAACAAGCAAATTAGATAAAGAACCCATTTCCAACACATCTTCATCAGTGTAGGCATTGTTAGAAGTGGTGCTGTAAGTAGATACATTTTTATCCCACTGGACTTAGTACTTCCTCACTCCTGAGGATTCTCATCTTTAGTATGTGAATTCAGGGAATAATGATTTCCACCGTTTCTGTTAAAATGCTCTGGAAATACATGTGCAAAGTATTGACCAAAGGAATAAGATTACAGAGAATGATAACAACCGTTTAAGTTCAATATTACACCATCTCATGAAACTCTAAGGAAAAATAAACTTTGAGAACAACCTTGATAATATCAAAGGTTTTTAAAAAACACTTTTTAAACTTCTTTTCTTCTGCTTTTACCAGAATATGAAAAAAACAACTCATAAATATTTCATCCTCCACACTAAGCTCGCATGCTGGTGCTTTTTCAAGTTAACTTTTGTTCTCTCTCAATGTACCTCATTAATAAAGGCAATCTTTGTCCTGTAGCAGCTGAAATGAATAATAGGAGTTTTACATTTTTGCTTAGAGTAAGCCCCTTCATACATTTACTTGTTTAAGTTATATTCAGCTTCTTTTTTCAAGCAAGTACCAGTTTTGTAATATTAAAGGGGAAATAATACTTTTAAAGTATTATTGCCCTACAAGTAGTCCAGCCAAAGTTCCGTTGTAAAGTTGGATTATAAATTTGCTTTTGAAGTAGCAGAGGAAACTGTGGAATCCAGACTCTCAGAGGCTGTATTCAAAAATAAATACTTCTTGACTTGATTGTCAAAATACAAGGGACTGTAAAATTTAGATGAGTACAATAGTGTGAATGATGTATCTAAACAGAAAAATGACTGTTTATTTAAAATAAGACTCAAGTTTTACCATCAAGGCTACAAAGACATATAGGCCTTAGGAATATATAGGAAAGTAATTAATGATAACATCCCTCAGCTGCATGAAAACTAAATGCCTTCAGTTTAAGGTCTAATCTTTTTTTTAACCCCATCTTACAAACATAGCATGTGGGCCTCCAGACACGCTTTTCAAATTTCAGAAGTTGGCCTCCTTGAAAATGGAAGCTTTGTAAATTTAAGTACATTTTAATTGGAAAATGTTCTTTTTATCCATTAAACTTTTGGTTTGATAATCAAAAGCCCAAATTATTTTAGTATCATCCACTTTTAATTACACATAATATTCATTATGTCATCAACACTGTTATGTGTAGATGTAGGTAATTAATTGCAGTCAATTAATGTGTTCATAAAGAGAGATATTAATGCAAATCAACTTTTCTAATTGGAGCTAACAACATCCCAAGGTAGTCAGCAAATTAAAGAAATTGATGTTAAACCAAAACAGGTCGTCTAATCTTGTGAAATGGCAGCTGTTAGCAGCAACCAAATGTCACATTAGGAAAAAGGGGGGAAGGTAATGGCAGAAAGTGGCTTCTTTTGTGCTTATTAGTACAGTAAATTATGGTATTTGGGGGCTGATGCATGATCTGTTTTTCATTTCCTTGATGACACTGTAAATAAAGCTGATCTTGAAATAAGGTTATGAAAAATGCTTAGGGGAATCGACAAACTGTTTTATTTCTACTTAGTTGCTTTATGAAGGTGTCAGATCTCTAAAGTGAGATAGCAATTTAGCACTGAAGTTGTAGCAAGAAAATATCTTTAGACGGTTTAAGTATTAAATATAAATTAATGTGAAGATACTGTTTTTATCAGGTCTGGAAAGGAGAATTCACTGACAATCTTGGAGAATTAAAAAAGAGGAAAATAGATAGTACATGCAGTTCTGCAACCCTGATGATAAAATTAATACATACTCATTTTCCTGTCCTTCCTTTTTAAATTTTTTCAGAACCTTCACCTGTTTACTTTTTGCTTGTCTTGCAGACTGGTTGGCAATTTCTGTGCTTGAAAAGAATTATTTGAATAAATCTACACTTTAAGCAGTAAAAAAATAAATAGTAAAAGGGGCAGAACATTTTACCAGCAATAGAGTGTGTTTGCAATATTAGGGCTCAGCCCTGGCAATACAGTAAATTCAGTAATTTCAAAAAGCAAGCTATATAGTAAAGAGTAAATAATTCTCTTAGCTGTGACTGATACCTTGACAGCCTTGCCTCAGGTTTTTTGTATTATTATTTATTTATTCTGTTATTTATTAATTAGAGTTCTTTTTTCTTCCTGTCAGAAGTTAGGTTTTTATTGAAGTTCTAAAGAAATCATGCAAACCAATTTTTTGTTTATAAATATCCCCCTTTTATATAAATCTTTAAAGCAAGGGGATTAGAAATATGTCTCTGTAATGGACCAGAAGTTTCTTGCTTGTATGTTGACACACTTTTATAAAATAGACATTTGCTATTCCTATGTTTCTAGGGATTGTGCTTTAAAGAAACATAGTTTTTAGGTATATGTAGTATTCATAATTTGAATTATGAATTAGTTGATTTGAAAAATACTACTTTTTATTGTTTGTAAGTACTGTAATTTTTTTAACTGTTATTTTTCTTAACTTAGGTAGCTTGGTTAATAGAGGACAAGGCAACATACGCAGCAGTAAAACTCAGGATGTATCACATATTGCATTTGGATCAAAAATCCTTGGGCCACCTCCATCTTCAAACAGGAGAGTCAGTACAAAGGTACCTGGAGAGGTAAGAAGGTTTAAATTCCTACAACGCTACTGGCACTTCAGCAAAGGAAAAGACTGACAAGCAGAGGAATTACACTAAAGGTTTGTTTCAGTGGCTGTCCCCGGAATACTGTGTTAGGTCATGGACCCCAGTACAAGAGACCCTGTAACATCCAGTGGGGAGCAAGGAAAATGCTTGGGTGGCTACAGCACAGGGCATGGATTAGTTCATCCCCCAGGACAGAAGGCTAAGGGAGAATCTGGTTGCTATTTTCAATTAATGCAGGGCTATAGAGAAGCCAGGCCTCTTCTGAGAGGTGCCATGAAAGACCAAGAGGCAGAAAGCCCTAATGGCAGGGGGTCTCTGACTAAACATAGTGATAAAGTGGTTCAGTACCAGAACAGGGTCACAGGGAGTTGTGGAACTCAGAACTTTCAAAGACAACAAAACGTGACTGAAACAGGCTGATTTAACTTAAGCATCATGCCTAAAGAGGTCTTGTTCTACCCTGATTACTGTGATTTCTTATCATTCTTATCTTTCTGAATTTTTTGTTCTAGACTGCTGAAATTAATGTATGTAAATATTTTTCCTTATGATGTGAGCTGTTGTACAGAGCAGAAACTGCATTTCAGTATGCTCTGATAGTCAGCCATGCAGTAGCTCATGTGATGCTGTCGATTCCAATGCCAGGGAAAACCCCTGCTCTCAGTCTGCCAGCAAACAATATGCAGGTTTTTGGAATCTCCTCAGGACTACAATTCCCAGTTTAACACTGTGACTAAAGGATCCACTTCTGTAGGAATTCAGTTGAAAGCTAAGATGTAAAATGAGATTCCTTTCTCCCAAAAAGAAAAGACTTCTGAAGTCTAGAATAACTACAAGTTTTATTCTTTTTATTCTGATAGTGAATTTTAGGGTTTTTTTCACTTTTCTTTGCCTTGTTTTCCATTCACTCAGTGAAAAAAAAACCTGCCTGTTACTAGGCTGTAAAAATTGAGCATACCACACTGAATCACACCTACCAGGAAGTTTCCTGAAAAGATAGTAATTAAAAAAAAGATTTGGAAATATTTATTTGAAAAATAAGCGTAATTCAAAATGTGTATTTACTTTGGAATATTTTGAAAGCCATTACATTTTTTGTCTTTTATCAAGAAAATAGTGTCTTTCAAGATAACAAAGACCTCGGATAGCAAAAGTAATAGATCATGCCGACTTCAAAATTCAGGAATGCCAGCTGAATCCATACAAGACATTGAGAGATTGGAGCTGTCATTCTCATCATGCAATGATTATTTAGATCAAGGAGGCAAAAGAAATACTCACCAAACAACTGAAGATGCATGTCAAAATGGTAAGAGTATAAAGCAAAGAATATGTAGAGTTTTCAAACTGCCAAAATTTGTGAATTATTCTGCCTTTGGAATGTAAGAATTAATTCTTTGTTTTTCTAATCCCTTATCTGCCTTATTAATTACTGGAGACATATTTATTAAATCGTAGCTTATTCTCCAGTATGAGCTTGAATAAATGCTCATTTTCTCTGCAGGTATTCGTATTGTGTTTGAGCCAGGGGTCAGCACCTGCTGGCAGTAGCCACAGTTTATGCACATACTCCGCTTTCCCTCATGCTGTGCAAACAACTGAGCTGCTGCAGTGGCTCTTGATTACTTTGCAGACTTTTGCAAGCCTGTTTTTTATAACTTCTATGGCTTGCCCATCTTCCATACCTATTATTAAATTTTTACTTCCTTGTGACTGTCATATTCCTGCTGCCCTACAAGACTCCCATGCTATTTGGAAGATGTTTGTATCCCAGTGTAGTGCTGCTTTATGCACACAATATGAATGTTCACAGGCATTTCATAAGCTTCTACATTGCATTTCAGACCCTGAAATTCAGACTGAGAAAACATCTGTGAGTGGAGAAGCAGATTTTCAGCTCACCTCACCACAAGTACCATCAGCAGACAAGAACAGTCATAAAAGATTATCTCTAAAAAATGCAGCCAAAACCACATGGGAGATAACCAGTGGTATGACGCTCATTTTATATTATTTTACATTTCATTTCTATGTGGTGTGAGGGACTATCTGTTGTAAATTTCAAAGGACCCAGAAGCAGTTCACATAAAATATAAATGTCTGTGTTGTGGGGGATTACGGAAATCAAACACCCTGCAACAGAATTGCTTTTGAGCGTTGATAAAGATTTGCAGGATTAAGCAGAGTACCAGAGCAGTGAAAGAATATAAAAAGAAACATTCTGTGCTCTCATAATTAAAGGAAAAGAACTAAAAATAATTTATTCTTTAAATCTCTAATAAATTTAACACTGAAGATTCCAAACATGAAATTTTACTTGTCACAAATAAGAGTTTAGAATATTAACTATGGTAGCTATGTAATCTCTGGGGGGGTTGTTTGTTTATAAAGTTCAGTGGTGAATTATATTTTGTTCTTATTCACAGAAAGACACCTCAGCTTATGTTTTGGGTTCAAAAGCTTTATGTTTTGTCTGCCAAAAGGTGTGGATATTTTTTTGTCATACAGTGTCAATCAACTTGCTCTGCCTGTGTCTGGGAAGTACTTTCTTGTGGCAAAAGTAGCCCTTCTCTCTATGAAAAAGTAGTGTTACTTTCTGTTAAAAGGCATAGCCACCAATTTGAAAAGTGGTCAGACTACTCAAATGTGCTCAAAATTGACCAACGAGATTTTCCTTCACAATATGAGTGATTTCCATTTGGTTTATTCTTTGAGGATGTTTAGAAGCAATTATATACTAAGACAGTGTCAGTAATTGCTATTTTGGGTATCATAATTTGACTGAAAGAGATTCAAGATGTTCAGGCAAGTAGAACCTTCTGGAGAATTTTTTGATTGCTTCCTGTTTACCTGAATTTTGAGGACTCTGGACCAGGAGTCACAAGTCTTAACTTGTTCATCTAGAACACCAAGGTCTTTATCTAGGGCTAGAATTTCAGAAAATTGAATCAACACTTCTTATTTTATGTAAATATAAGTGATATGAAAAGACAGACTTAGGGCAGTAGACTGGCATGTCTAAATGCCCTCTTGTAAATTCAGAAGCAGAGAACTGAGGAAGAAAGCTGTGTATAAGCTCTGCCCTTTTGCTGTTTCTGTTTGCAAGAATGAAAACTGTTTCTATGTAGTCTTAGTTGTGTGTACAGGCAAATAAATGCATGATGTCAGTTTGTAAGGTACAATTCTGCAAACTTCTTTCCCCGTATTTTCATTGCCTGTCACTTGTAGCTCAGTTTGCAGATTTCAGTTTCTTTTCAATATATGAAGTTATCTAATTGTTTGTAGATAACTTAATGATTTCTTTATCCCGTAGTACAGGATTTATTTGCACTCACATTTTAAAAACAAATACCTGTCTAATAAAAGCAAAGAAATTATGATTTCTGTGATAACTTGAGTTGTAGCTGTATTTCATGCATTGTCAAGATTGCAACCCCATAATGCTCAGGATAGATCTTCTAGTGAGGAAACTCCCAACTGATCTTGCCCCAAAGTGAACAACCACAAGTCTGGCTCAGTGGTGATGACTCAGCCAAAATCATAGTCCTGCCATTTCTGACAAAGTGTAAATTTACATAAACCTATGACAAGTCCTTGGAACAAAACCACATTCCCCAAGCAAGTACAAGCTTCCATGGTTTCTGGCTCCTCTTTTACACTGTGGTCAAAGCAATTTGTATCAACGAGAATCCATCATACACTACTCTTATCATCAGACATTTAATATTCTTGAACCCTGTGCAGCCATAGCCTGTGGAGATCTTGGAGCAGCACTACACTTGTTCTGCCATTAGCTTGAGTAAATATTAATTTAAACTTGTTGGGGGTAGGGGAGCTTTCGTAAGTGATTGCTCTTATTACCTTAGGGGTTAGGCATTGCTATTTATAATAATGTCTCTTAGATTTATTATAACCTTAAATCAGCATGTCTTCTGTGACAGGTGTGCTGTACCTTTACCAAGGTAAATTATTTTTAACCAAGGGGAAAAAATAAAGTGAGTAAACATTGTTTATGCCAATCTTATTTATTCAATGCTGAAACCTTCATTAAAATGTTAGGCTGCAATTAGAAGCTTTAGCATAAGTCTGACTATGTAGAAGAGCTAATTAGATGTTAAGGTGATCATTCTTGCATTTATGTTGTTTGCTGCAATGTTGTGATTACATAGTAGTTTGCATATTTTGCTGAGAAAGTACTCCAAATTATTTGTTACAATTGACATGGAAATGCTGAGTTAAAAAGAAATTGTAGTAGAGTTTTTGTTGGAGAGGTAATGGGATTTTGTTTGGTCCAAAACTCCCCGTAGACTATACAAGAAGTTACAGAAGTTGCTGAACTCTGTAACCACCATAAAATGTCATCTTAAAGCCTTACAGACTTTTCTGTCTTCCCCCTCATATTTCATTAAGTAGTGTGTTATGCAAACTAATATTTACATTTAACTTATTCCTAACTCAAGTGTATTTCTTCAACATCTCTGGAAATGAATGTTGTTCTTTTCAGGGAGGCTTAGACTAAAAAGGTAGAATATTCAGGTTAAATATTATCCTGATACTAAGTCTTTTAAAGTAGTTCTTTATATTTCTGGAATACTTTTTATTCAGACAAGACATTACTCACTATGTTGAGTAAAGTGATATGTAAGAAGTTTTTGGATGTCTGAGGCAGATTCAGGAGTGTAAGGCTCTAATTGCCTCCTGTTCTCTAAACACTTGACAAAAACTGTCACTTAAGCTTTCTTTTCCATGTTTTGAAACTTCATTTAGAATTGACTTAAAATCTCAAAGAGCAAGTGATTTATCACCTTTTTTTTGCTTCAGAATTCATTACAAAATTTTATCTGTAACTCTGTCTGCAAATAAACAGCATTAGAAGTTATTCTAGAATGAGAATAGAACAGTTGAGACTGCAGTTAGGGAAGTTGGTTGTTATTAAGTCAGTAGGCCAAAATAAAAATTAAGCCACTCCTCTACTCATTCACAGTCCTTTGTGCATAAGAATTAGCAAATTCTCCTGAAGTAGGTTGTACACTAAACGTGAAACCACACCTTTAGAGGGCTTGTTACAGTGGTCTGAGCTGTGGGTGTTTGAAAACTGCGAAGGCAGCAAGATACTTGTCAAATCTAATTTCATGACCGGGAAAAGACCTTCTGAATACTAAAGAAATGTGTGTTATATATACACTTGGTCTTAGTCAAGCCACTGCCATTGAAACCTAGTAAAATGTATCTACACTGAAATGTGGAATGGTGGGTGCCAGACTGGTCAGAAGGCTGCAGGGTGCTGAGAGAGGAAAAAATACAAACCTTTTCTTAGCCAGGTAAGTTTTGAAGATTTTGTTGTTGTTGTTTTGAAAAATGTGGCAAGTACTTTTCACTGATTCCTGAATATTAACTGGAGTTTGGTAGCTTTACTAGCTGTCTTCAGTAAACTGGAAAAATCACAGCACCCAGTAAGAAGACAGCTGTTTCTTCTGGCATCTCATTCTTCTTTCTCTTGCCTTCATTTATGGTGGTTCACACTTCACACTCACCCCCCCAAGCTGCTGAATCTGCCTGAAGTGGTAACTTTAACAAAACTAAAACTAAAATACCAGAGTAAATCTACTGTCTTCTGTGATGGCAAGCATTTTATTATTGCAGAGTTACTTTATTATTACATTTTTAGTATTTTTTTATTGTGGCTTTTTTTGTATGGTTGATGATAACTTCATTTTATGGAGCCAGAAAGTTTCAATATTTAGTGAATAATCCACACCACACTACCTTTAATGAAGATAAGGGAGTATTGTATACTTGAGCAATTCTCCTTTTCTCAGATGCTATTTGAGACTGGTTTTAATCAATCAAATTGACACCTTTTTCTATACCATCATTCCAAACAGTAAAATATAAGTTAACAATAAGAATATAAAAATGGTCTTTTCATGTGTATCTGGCGCACTCAATCTTTAAATCCATTTCTGGACTTTATTATTTGTTTTAAAATTGTCAGATTAGTAATGACTGTATTCAGGGAAACTTGGTGAAACAGATATCTTCATACCTTTTTTATGTCACACTATTTTTCATCAGAGCAGTAGTTTGAAATTGAGATTTAAACCATAAGTTCTAGATGTAAAAGAAAGTGTAGAATTTCAGCCATAAAGAAGCAGCAGATTGTAATGTTATGAACTTTCCACCAATGTGTGTTTATTTTTTAAATGTCAGCCACAAAAAAAATGCCTATAGAAAAAGTTCAATGGCCAAATTTAATACAATTATGCTTTCCTAGAATAAAATTCAGTTCCAGGTCTCAAATCTTGGCAGCTAAATAGTTTCAGGTTTGCAAATTGCAGGCCTACATGTCGTGTACCAAAGCCTGTGTACTTTTTGCTTGTGATCTAAAATGTTTGGATTAACCTTGCTGCACTTTGAAAGCAGCCTGATCTTTTTTATTGCATTCTTGTGACTCTTCCAGCTGTATAAATCTGATAAGCAAAATGTTTCTGTACTAGAAGAACTTACTTTGCTGTCCAACTTCCCCAGAAAATAAGCATGATCAAGGTGTCACACAATTTACATATTTGGCATTGAAATAAACATTGTGTGTTTCAGATGAATGGGAGTTTCCAGGAAGTTTCACTGAGAGTATTCGGTTGGATAGGAGTGAGCAGTTCATAGCTACTGAAGATTCAGCCTGCCATAATTTAAACTCACCCCAGAATGCCTCTGTTGAACATCACAGCAGTGAAACAGGTGATCAGCAAGTGAATAATAAAGAGATTTTCACATTTTCATCAAGACCTCGATCAGCTCCTCACGGGAAGTCTCCAAATATGTCACCAGAACGTTATGTTTTCCCTTTGGATTTGGAGCCAGACAGTAACAGAGTACATGAGAAAACACCAGATAACTTCCAAGGAACTGACAGCAGTGAAGAGGTAGGCCACTTTGTACCTGTAATTCTTGATAAAGCAGTCTTCATCCTAAAACTCTTAGGATGAGATTCTGTCTTCAAGCTAGACAGAGGATAAATCATCTTTTCCCCATATACCTACAGGTAGATTTGTCTTTGTCAGGTTGCTGTGTCTAACTGGATACAGGAGTGAAACTGCAGGTGTACCATGTGTAAAAAGTGAACAAAAGAAACCCAACTGTCTGTCAGCCCCTGTGCTAGCAGAGAGATGTGAGAATTGTGCATCATTACTCAAAAATCATAGATTGCATCATAGATTTGGGTGAGATGCAAGTCCATTATGGTTGCTTATGAGTGCAGTAAATAAGACTTCATTGTGCATTTTAAAACTGTAAGTGGAGACTATTTTTGCTCACTGACATTGTTGAAAGTGAATTAAGAAATTTCAGCTTTTGAATACCCGTTGATTATTGGTATTTCTGCTTTATATCCTGTCTGAGCTGTGTCAGCATCACCAACTTTAATTCTGTTGCAATGTGGAAATCTTTCAGCAATAAAATTAATAAAAAGAAAAGAAACATTTTTTTATATGTTTATATAGATCTATACAGATCCCATGCCAAGCACACAAAGAGAAAGCAGTAGCCAAGTACTCTTGCTTTTACAGCAAAAGAAGAACATTGGGACACATTATTGGCCATTCTAGAGGGTTGATGCAAGAGAGTGATAGAGGACCCCTGTCTTCCTTTAAAAAATTTAGGTATGACATAAACTAAAAGTTTTTCTTTGATTATGTACCAGAGATGTGGTAGGGAACAGCTCTTGTTTCATTAATTGTCTTTGGATGTGAACTGCATTAAATAATATCAGCACTGCAGCTGAAGATGCATTAGAGCTAGAATTACATTAAACAAATTTAGGCATGCTAACAAATTATCAAGAGTTTGTTTTTCTGAGTCTACTGCATTAGTAATTCATAGTTAAGCCTTTCTTTCATGTGAAAGAAGCCACTGAACCAACAAATTACTTAGCAGTCATATTTTTCCCATATTCATCCTCTTCCTTGTATAGATACATTTTGTGTTGCTTCTTGAAGTCAGCTTTATATTGATAGTTTGGATACATTTCATATTCAGAGTGCTCTACTTTGCAGTACTGAGGTGAAATGGAAAACAGTTTTATTTCAAGCCTAGGAAATACAGGAAAGAGGATCTTGGAAGAGCCATGATAGCTAACTTAATTCTATCTGGTTTAACACAGTTTAAGGTATCTTTGCAAAATTACCACCATTCTTAGCCCAACCATGACATTTCTCAGTTTACTTCACTTATATGACAAAATATTTATTTTACCAAGTTATGCTGAATCCTGCAGTGTTGGGGTTTTTTAAAATATATGTTAAACTTACACTATTATTGTTTCCAGTAATCATGATTACAACTTCCTCTGAAATTCGAATAAACTATGTTTGTGTATGACGCACATGGATACGTACATGCTCTTGAATTACAACAAATAAAATAGATATCTCGACCTACAATTTAAATAATTGGATGTGAGCATAAATTGCTTTTCTCCTGGAAAATATAAGTAAAACTATTCCTTTTTTTTTAATTAAAACAAATAAGAAGATTTTGCATACCTTTTTAATTTAAATATGTCAGACTTATTAAAAGGCCAAAAGTTTTCCTTCAGTTTATGTCACCGTTTCCTTCAGTTAAGTGGACATTGACTCTCTCTGTGTTGCATGTACTGAGATCCGTAAGATACACACAATAACTCTGCTAGAATTAGACAGTTTATGTAACTTTTGGCTTTTGGAGAAGAAATTTTTACTAACTGAAAACAACAAGTATGTATAAATTCCCTTTAGTGTTAATAATTAGTCACTGAAATAGTTCAATGCTGTTTTTTAATTATCAGACTCAAAGAATCAGTAAAGGATAAAAATTTCTTCTGTTGGAACCATTCACCATCAAGTGACTTATTTTGTAATTACCTAAATGTCCATGCTTTCAGCTCAGATTTCTCTCAGTGACTTTGTATGATTAAGCTTGTCATGGCAGCCTTTATGGATTGTGCCAACCCCAGAGCAAAACCAAGAACTCAGTGATTGCAAGAGTTATGCAACTGTGGCAGGTGTGACCACATACCACATAGCGCTGTCAAAAATGCTGTTTTAAGTGTAATAGACCAGTGCTTCTGTGAAGCCTTCAATGAACAAATAAAATATTTCAAAGAATAAAGAAATAAGATTAAATATGATAATGTACCCTTACAAAGGCAATAGATAATTTCACTGATACCTCACTATTGAGTGTATCAAGAAACTATATCCCATCTGCTCCTAGTAGGGGGCCCTTTGGAGTCATTAGAATGATCATCTTAAAATTACAACCCAGCAAGAGAAACCAGTTTTATGTATCCAGAACTGCCCATCTGCATGTCCTTTCAAGGTATACAATACATCAGTGGAAGTGCTAATTCCTCAGGAAAATCATTCCCATCTTCAGTTTACATATGCTGCACTGTAGTTAATCAAGCAAACTTTAGAGATGTTTCTGGCACCATTTCATGGTTTAGTATTTAACAAATTATTCTAGAACCTAAATAGGTATGCCTAAAGAGACATGGAAAGGTGTGAGGGTTTTAAGCTTCAGATAAATCAAAGTTACTCATTTGTCTCTAATATGGGGGAAAAAAATACAGTGTTTGCTTTACTAATCTTTCATCCTGAGTTAACCTAACTTTATGTGGGTTTTATTGCACAGACTTTAAGATAACATGGAAAATAAAAATCCATGAAAAAGAGGAAAGAACCGATTCCTAATTCAAGGAAATAACTGAGGGAATTAAGTATAAACTTCCAAAATATCTATATTAATAAAATTGAGTTATTATCTTCTTGAATGTACTTTTCATTCTGTGCAATCCTGGACTCACTGAAGTCAGTAACAAACTTGCATCACTTTCCCGTGCAGTAGGACTGCACGTGGCTGTGAGAGGCAACACAGCAGATGACATTTCAGTGTCTTGCTGAATCCTGTAATATATACTGCCTCACATCCTGTGTGGTAGCATATGGCAGAGGAGCAGCGTCGTGAGACGAAGATGAGGCCTCTCTCATCCTTTCTTCCTTGAGAGCAGGAACATTGAGGCAAACACTAGATGTGCTTCCCCGTTATTTTTCGTCCCATCTGTTCAGTCCTGCTGTTTGTTGTTGAGATGGGGTATGAGTGAACTTCGTACACTTGATTCATGAGATGATTTGCGGAGACGTTGTTAGAAGCACGAATATAAGGTTAACAGATTAACCTCTAAAATTCTTAAACTATATTCAAATGGTAATGAATATGATATTCTGTACCATATGATTACCAGAGGTGAGCAAAGTGATCTCAGCAGGAGTTATTCCTTCTACATTTAAGTTGAAGATGCAATGTGAAAATGTGGAATATTAATAATTCAATGGAAAGACATCATTGTTGAGGACTCTTTGCTTAGTTTTGGTTTACAGTTTTAATAAATTTTATTGAAATTATAATTATCAGGTAAGACACAGGTTTGGGAGATTACCAGCAATCTAAATTTGGGACAACATTTTGAAAATAGTAATTTATTTGAGATGTAAGAATATGTTTATGGTATTGTCAGTGTAGTTGCCAGGAAAAGCATCTGTTTTTCAGAATCCTTGCAAAATTAGAATTAGAAAGCAGAGATTAAAGAGAGATTTTTGAAATGTTTTAAGGTTATGTAAAACCGAATTGTGTGATGATGAGAGGGAGCCAACTGCCCTTGCTTTGTTTCCTAAATTTAGGATGACAGCAATGGACTCATCCAGGGTACTGGGAACCTTGAGATCAGCCACTGTAGACAAGGAACATCTGATTCAGCAGTTTTTAAAGAGATCTCATTAAAAAAGATGTTGTGGAAAACTGGATACTGGAAGAATAAGGAACACAGCAAACATAACCTCGATGAGACCATCTTACCAAACCCACAGAGTTCCACTGTGAGAAAAACAGATTCTATTAGCTCTCAGAGAAGCTTGAAGCCTATCCTTTCTCTTTCTCCAACTCAAAGTAAATCTAAATTCTTTAAAGCAATTAGAAATGGATCTGAAAAAACTGAAAGATATGAAGGAGTTTCTGATCAATTAGAAAGATCCATCAGTAAAATGTCTCTCAAGAAAATCTCAAAAGAAAATTCATGTCTGACAGCACAGACTTGTGTAAGTGATTTTTACTTTGAAATTAAATTACTAGATCGTATAGAGAAGCTATATTAGATATACTCATTTGCATTAAGTAATTAATAGTACATCTTTCATCCAGACATATTCTGGTTTCATCATAACAGCATTTACTGAGCTCTATCTGTTGAAAGTTGATTTTGTAGGTTTTTGTAGCACACAGAATAATACTCCAAATAAAACAAATCACAGTGGTTTATAGATAAAAAGAGTTGTCATTGAGCAACTCACATTTTGGAAATATGGGAGTTAGAAAACAGTTTGGGCCTGAACGATTGCTAAGGAAAATAGACAGATTTTGAATTGATATATTAACGAATGACCATAGAAGGAGCGTTAATCTGGGCACTTCATAGTCTCTCTGCGACAGCCTTGAGCAATAATAAATTATGTGATTGAGAGCCAGCAGCAAAGCTGTGCCACAAGCTGAATTACCAGGCTGCTAAAGGAATTGCTACATTCACCAAGGTGTTGTTTATTCCTAGTTTTTTCTTTGTGGAAGAAAAGACAATTATGTTTTAAGTATTTTCTAATAGCTAATTCCTGTGTCTTCAGCTTATAATACTGTGCTTTGAATTGGGAACTGGAGCGCAAGAATCAAGTGTATTCTGTAAAACACAAATGAGCCAGTACGTTCCATGGGTTTTGATAGAATTCTTTTGGGCTTAGAGTCATTGCAGATCCGTGTCTTCTGACATGTGACCTCTCCTCTAAATATGCTATGAGTGGATTAGATTTGTTATTGAGTATCTGGCAGTGGAACATGCCAGGCTTCTTCCACAGGCTTTTTTTTGTCATGTCAGTGGATAAGAGACCAAAGACTCCCATAGCCAACATCTTCTGTCCAGCAGTCAGTTTTAGTGGCTGAGGAGAGTAACAGTGCAAGGACAGAGAACATCCAGCAGTATCTCACCAGCATGCCCTGCAGGCTTCCTGCCAGCAGTGCTTAATTTAGCAATTTCTTCAGTGAAAGGTGTTGTCTTTGAGGTGAATAACTGGTGGTGGAATTTTCTTCTACAGATTTGTTGTAGTTGCTTTTTGTATCTGTATGACCTTTGCCTTGTAACAGTGAATTTCAGAGTTTAACTGTTATTTGTAGGAAAAAATACATATCTTCATTTATTTATTTGAATGCATTGTCTCCTTACTGCTGCTTTCTTATTCTTCTGTTTGTTGTAAGAAACAATGAATAATCTTTTTTTTTTTAATTAATATTCTTACCTATGCCATTTCCTACTTGATGGCTGTATATCATATTCCCTTTCAGCTGTCTCTTCTACTGGTCAAGGAGTTTTATGGTCTTTATTCCCAGGATTACTGTTCTGTGATTATTTTTTTTGACATTTTTATGCAGCAATGTTGAATCAAACTACTGCATGATCATTATTGTAAGAGTGGGGTTTGTATTGTAGTATCTTGAACCAGGTATTGCATGCCTCTGGAGACCAATAGAATAGATGCTTCTCTTTTTTGGGGGCTCTATGAAGCAGTTATGCATTCTTTGGAAAAAAATTACCTACAGTAATGTCTTGGAACATGACATATGCCTCGTTTGCATGAAGGGCATGGATATCTTCCATCATTATTGTGTTTTCTGTCCTTGTAGCTTGTCTCATCTGCTGTAGGATACTGCAGTCACTATTCCCAGCAGGGGAGGGTGCTGTCATTCTGCTGTGGGAATTTTAGTCTGTAGCAATTCTGTGACCTGTCAATACAGTTAATTTTAGTTACCTGATTTGACAGCCTCTGTGAAGGGGGAAGCAGGAGTGACAACTTCCATGGGACAGGGATGTGGCTGCTGGGGCAGGGTCATCATGCTGAATGGTTCTACCTTGCCTACTTTAGACTGCTCTGGCTGCTGAGGGTGGACACCCTGCAGTGGGTAGGGAAATCTGGGCATTGGGGTAGGAGGAGCATACCAAATGGGGCACCAGATTAAAGAATAGTGTCTAGAAAAACATTTGTTCAGCTTTTCTTTGTGTTTTCTGTGTGATGGGGAAAGGCACAACATGCCACTGATTCTTCAGTGCTTTTTGTGAAATGAATCTATTTTAGTCCTGGTGCAGGGACTGGGGTTTATGTGTCTCACAGTCCTATGAGATGTCTCTCAGACTGGGGATTCTGGAAATCTCTTCCTGTATTCTGCAAGAAGCTTATCAGATTGGTAAAGGCCTTGGGGTTTTCTGATAAAAACAGAACATGCTCTTCCATGAGAGTTGTGGAGACTGGTTTCCTTTGGGAAGGAAGTGGATTAGGGGGAAGCAAGGGGAATGAAAGACAATAGTACAAGTGAAAATCAGAAACAGTGCTGAGACTTTATGGTAATGAAAAATATCAGTGGCTGGTGATTTTAAGGACTATAAAATGGAAAAAAAAATCAAAAAGCAGAGAAATTCTTCTGAATAGCAGCATATGTTCTGTCTATTTATGATCTGGAAAAGACATTAGAATTGGCACTAGTGATGTAGAAAATGTGGAAGAATGCAATGCATGAGTTCTTTTGTATTAAGAAAGAAGTAAGATAATGTTTCGGTAATTTTTAGTGATAGGAAACCCCCAGTTGATACTGATAATCTGATCCTCTGTTTCTTAGACAGGTTCATATCCAAGTATCTGTCTATAAGTGTATAACAAACTTTTTTTGTATTTTGCATTCCCTTTCCCTTCTAGTATAATTTATAGGAATTTAATTTTTCTGTTTTCCAGTAACTATTTATGGTTTCATGATTAAATATATTCCTCTCTTGTTTCCTGATTTCTTCCAGTTTTGGAAAATTGTTCCACTTTAAATTCAACTATTTTTGTTACTAATAATAACTGAAATGTATTTGTCCATAACAAGTGAAATGATACATTGGTTACTTTTCTAAAAGTTAGTGCAGTCATCAACTTTGTCCTGTAGAATTTAGCTAAATATACACTATCTAGGTGGATTTTAATAGTTGATTGTTAATTTAGACTGTGGGGTTATTAACATACTGCACTTATAGCTGTAAATATATTGCACTTATAATTTGTTGCTTGTAAGTATTTTTTTTCAAGAACAAATCCTATTATCAATGTATAGAAACTCAAAAGCTACAGACCTCATTTTGTTGCTACAAAATACAAGATTAAAGTATCTGGCAGATTTAGCTCTCATACTTGATTTGATCAAGTATTAAAATTTTCCCATCCAGAAGCCCTTCCTTGGAGTTCTTTGACACTCCTTTTTGTGCTTGTACAGAGGACTAGTAAAGAAAAAAAATGCTTAACCAACTCTTCCTAAAATCGATTTGCCAGCTGCTTAATACGCTTTAAGGACCTGGTTGCTTGCAATGTTTTATTCATGTTTTAATAGAGTTCTCTATTATTAAGTTCAAATATTTTTAATTAAGAAAGAAGTATAGCCCTCTGGGTAATATTGCGGGCATGTAGATAGCTGGTAATTAAAGTTTTCCACACGTATAACTACATTCAGACAATTCTGAACAAATCATTTGAACCTAGAAGAATGCAAATGTCATTATATATGAAAAAAATCCTTTAAACAACAGGTTTTGTCAATCTAGGAAAAGTTTTAAGTGCTTAATAAAAATACTTTATTGTAAGGGAAGGATATGCAAATAGACGAGATAAGCTTTTAATTACTAAATGAAATATTAATTTTAGACAAATTTACGAGTATTGCAAAATTACTTCTTACATCAAAAGTTTCTTCTAAATTACAAAGTGAACTTAATTTCAAATTCAGTTTTCAAATTCTCTCTTTGAAAAACGACTAAGACAAAGTAAAATTCGTAAAGAGGCTTTTTGGTAGTAGTAATCTGAATCTGAAGAATAAGTAGTCCAAACTCTTTCTCCTTTATTAGGAGTTTATTGAATGAGATGCTTAACACAGAAAGCTGTCATGACATCTCTTCTCCTTCCTGAATGTGGTATTTCCAGAATGAGACCATTACAAGAAAAGAAAGCAGAATGACAGTTGGAAATAAGCTGCAGGGTAAAAACATCAGCATGTTTAGAATTATGCTGTAAAAAATTCCAAAAATCTATGCACTTTTCTTCATAGATGTAAAGCAGAGGACAAGCAGGTTTGGGCAATGTTTTGCTTTTATTAAAAAGAGAATGAGAATAAAGTTCTTTCAATGGTTAGGGCTTTTATGCTGCAGACCTCCAGTTCGTGCTGTCAGTTTAATGACTACATGCCAATTGCTGGTTATATGAGATAAGAAAGGTAAGCCAAAGCTTCTCTTATAATAATCAAATAACTGCAGAAGGTCTATATATAGAAAAATTAACAGGAAATCAGCATCTTCAGTAAGATCAATAAAAAAGCAGCTGTAGATCGGGTAGAATAGTGATACATCAGAGCAAAGCGGGCTCCCGAGGGTAACAAAGTGAACAAATGACTAATAGTAACTGAGCGAGTCACAGACATTCAGAAAGGGTCTAGAGTAAATACCTTGTATTATTTTAGGATTGAAAATGGTAGAACTAATAACACTGGTAAGGAATGAAGCTTGGACCTCAAAAACCAGAGGTAAAAAAGGGGTGGCAGCTGTGCAAACTGCTTCTACCATCTTCTTATACCTTGTATCTTCTGTCGTCTCTTGTCTGTACCTTGTATGTTATATACATAGGAAGAAAGATCAGGAGGTTGTAATCAAAATTCCAGTGTGTAATACTTTTGTATGTCTTCTGGTGCTACAGTGACTTTTGTACCCCTAGAAGACACACTAAAACATATACACACTGCATTAATAGCAGGAAAAGCCAGCAGTGTTTGTATCACTGGTACTGCTGACCTGCATGTGTTCTTGAGGCCTTCAGTTACCCAGTGCCTTCTCACCGCAAAACAGACTGTGGGATCATCCCTTCTGCCAGGAACATGTACACTCCTGGTCTAAAAGCTCCATTCTCTCCACTAGAATCAAAGCACTGTCCCTCTTTGGGGTCCTATTATAGTGTCTCACAGGCCACTGGCCAATATTCCATTGATCTGAAGTCCTGGTCACTGCTTGGATTCACTTTTCAGGCAGAAATGCTTTGTAGTTTCATTCAAAACCAAAACTAGGTACCTCAAGTATCAGACCTGTTCCTTTGTGAAACAGCAATCTATGTGGACCCTTTTAAAAAATGGAAATTTTTTCTTAAAAAAGGAGCTTTTTAAACAAAGTTGATGCCACAGCAGGTTGAGTGACCTTAAACTATCTTATCGTAAGGTTTTACCTGAGGCTTAAGTACGAACTGAAAAATGGTTAGTATGTGTTTTCAGCTTTTGGCCTGTAGATCAAATTTGATATGACAATTACAGTTACATTAACAATTCAACCAATGGATATAAAGAAAAACAAAAAGACAGTGAAGTTTATTTGAAAATTTATACAGTAGCAAATTGCCAAAATAACTTCTGAAATTTAGTGCTAATGTGTAGCTTTCCAGAGAAATTTTATGTTATGCTTGACCAATAACTAAGTGTTATGTTGATGGTGTTGATGATACTGTGATAACTGTGTGATTTGATTTATTTCAAGATTTGCATTTAATGCTTGAGCAATTGTAGCTGCTGGATTTTTGAACTTCTTAAAGCCTGCTTTTGTCTCCTGTTTTTACTGCAGTGGAACAGCAACTTCACCAAACACCCTGGATTCAAACTGCAATAAAAACAGGAGACAAGCTGCAGTGTTTGTGGTGTTCTTCCTTCCTGTAATTACATATAAATATACTTAATCTTCATAGTTGAACAGAAATCTGTTAACCAATCTTTTCTAGTAAACATTTTGTTTCTCTTTTAGTATTGTAGCTTCATGAAGATTCTCCAAGAGATTCTCCAAGGTCTCTGTTTCATTCATCTATTCTGTTCCATGATCCTGTCTATATTGTTGACTTTTCCATTTTATTTCACAGGAGTATGACTGGAGAAACAACAACTCAAATATGCTGAGTTCATCTGAACTGCAGATGCTGGCCAGCATGAGGAGACAACAAAATGAAGAATTACGGGATACTGGGATCTCACATGGGCTGAGCACATCACAGATAGATACCTGCAATGTTAACATAAGTACAAGTAGCGATGATAATACAGCATCCTGGAACTCCTTACTTCCACCAGTAAGTCTAAACTCACAGTATATTCTCTGTATAGTTTCTGTCAATTCTGAGACTCAAGGATCTTGAATATTAAAATTTCTTTGAATAGCATTGAAATTTAAGGTATCATCACCAAAGGCTTCTAGAACTTTTCAAGTAAAGCATGCTACTGAGACACATGCACTTCCAGCAGGTTCTATAATACCATCATGGATAAAGAGCAAATCTTATATATATTCCTTCCTAGAATCCTGAATAATTGTGTAGGCTGTACAGCTTGTCACAATAGTGGCTGACAAGCTGCAGGTGTGTGATATAGTACTTAAAAATAGTTCCAAAATGAATGAAACCCAGATATACCAGTCAGCAGCTGCATTACAGTGTGAGTAATGGAAAATAATTGCTTCATATAGTGAAAAGCTAAATGTTTAAAGGACTGAAGTAGGAGAACAGCAGCAAAAAGCTGCAATAGTTCTGAGCACTTAGTATGTGATCATTATGTATTTTACACTTTGTATCATTATTTGTCCTGGTACAAAGTGGCACAAAATCACACACAGCTACACTGTGTGACAGAATACTGATATAAGAAGCAGAGTATTTGTTACAGTCCACCAAAAAGTACTGAATGTATGAAATCACAGAATAACTTCAGGAACTATATAAAGGTACTTGCAGGAGCTGCTGTAAAACTAGATAACCTCAAACTCCATTTATATATCAGCAATATAGCTGTTATTTTATTATAGTTGAAGCCATAATAAACAATGAATGTGGCTTAAGTAAAGCACACAAAACAACTCTCAGAGGCAGATCCAGTGTTAGAAAAATAAACACATCTGTGTTGCCCCAATATAAACTATTGGAGAGTAAATGCTCTAAAATGTTAGGTGCCAATTACCTCTAAGGTTCTACAAGGCCCAGATAGAGGCGTGTGGCAGCAATCTTCCATAGTGAATGATCAACAGAGTTAGAACTCTGTGGTACATTGTTAAAAGGAGGTTTCAAATGAGAAGAGATGTATTGGTAGGTGGGTAATTGTACAAATAAAAACTTGGTTTACAGAGTAGTATTTTGCAGGATCAGAGAAGCATTAGTTGGTTTTAACTATTTGAGATATGTCAACATTGCACATTTTCATGATTTAATTGTATTTCCAATGCATTTTCTTAGTATTCACTAAATAGACTCAAACATGGTGTAAATCTGCAAGACCAGACAAATGGAACTCAATTAAACATAGCGAATAGCAGCCTTATTAATTTTTGAGTAGTTTAATTATAAGGAAATTGATAAGAATATTTAGACATGTCAGATTTGGTTAATACAAATTACATGACTAAAACAAAATGAACTTTTGAAGTAAAATGTACTGCTCCAGTATTTGGAGAAGCACAGTATGACTGCAAAGACAATTCTTTGATCTTACTGCCTTGATCAGCTTCTGTAGCTTCACACTAATAGCATCATGCTAAAAAAAGTGTTTAGATATAATAGGTTAGTAATTTAAATTGCAGTTTATATAGTTGTAGTTTTTCATAACATTCCTTTATGACCATCTTTCTCTACATAATTTGAGTGTAAAAGGCAAGATATTTTTGTTTGAGAGAGAAGTTTTTCACATTTCATTCATCTGGCTGGGCTGAAGTGTAGGTGTAGCCTTACACATACAGCCTTGTCAGGTTTCTCCTCTGCATTTTGCAAGGTAGACATTGAGGTTTTAAGATTAAATGGTAAGAACCTAATTTCCAAGAAGAGAGAACTTAGAAAACAAACTTAATCTTTCTCAGATAAGGACTAACAACTTAGTCCCTTACAATAATAAAGGAATTCAGCTTTCCAGGTCTTCCCTATCCATTTACCTCTTCCTTTAAAAAGAGGAACTCTGTACAGTTTAATGTCAGATAGTCCACAAAATCTGTTGTTTCACTTCATATTTCCTTTCTGAGATATCTACCAGACCACCAGATCTTCATAGATTGATGCAAGTTTTTTGAGTATGGACTTGTGTGTTTTAACACTGCTTGATGTAGTTCTGTTCCAATATTTAGAAAAATGCAGAGTATCAATGTGAGGGTGATAATTCACTTTCTAGACCCTTAGTATGTAAGAAGATTATTAAAAACATTTGTTAAGGAAGGTGATTATTTAATCACCCCAAACTGGTTTTGTACAGAAGTTTTTAAAAGAATAGTTGAAGGAATTTTTGGTATGCTGGTGTTAAATTTTAGTATATTTTGATAAAACATTTCAGAAGGCTCTGAATGTAGCAATGCTGTGCCAGTGTTCAAATGGTTGGCTGAAATGAAAAGGTCTTTTGCCATACATGCTCTTGATGTAAGACATAGAATCATAGATTTATAGAATACTTTGGGTTGGAAGGGACCTTCAAAGATCATCTAATCCAACCCTCCTGCCATGGGCAAGGACTCCTTCCACTAGACCAGGTTGCTTAGGGCCCCCTCCAACTTGCAGGGATGGGGCAGCCACAGCTCCTCTGGGCAACCTGTGCCACTGCCTCACCACCCTCATTGTAAAAAATTTCTTCTTTGCATCTAGTCTAAGTCCACCGTCTTTTAATTTAAAACCATTGCCCCTTGTCCTATTTTCAGGCCCTGCTGAAAAACCTGTGCCCGTCTTTCTTGTAAGGCCCCTTTAGGTACTGGATGGCTGCAATAAGATCTTCCCAGAGCCTTCTCCTCTCCAGACTGAAAACCCCAACTGTCTCAGCATGTCTCCTCAGGACAGGTCTTCCATCCCTCTGATAATTTTGGAGCCCTTTTCTGGACCCACTCCTACAGGTCCATGTGTATCCTGTGCTGAGGATTCCAGAGGTGAACACAGTGCTCCAAGTTGGGTCTCACAAGGGCAGCACAGTGGGGCAGAATCACCTCTTATGTCCCTCTCCACAGGCCTGCTCTCAATCCTCAGTCTTAGTAATCTCATCATTTCTTCAGCCTCCAGTTTTTAAAGAAGTGTTCCTTATATGTATATTTATTCCTTATATATATATCATGTAAAATACAGATTTGTAGAATAAAAGCAAATTTGTTTGTCACTGGTCTTTAGTACCACCATCACTGGAGTTGAGTCAAGAGAATTTGCAAATCTCAATCCATCAAAAATCAGATCTACAAACTGCAGAAAAGTATATATATATAAAAACTATAAATCTAAAGATATATAAAGAGAGAGATATATATTTGTAGCCATCTTCCAGCTATGTAGGCAAATGATTTTAGCAGTGCAGTGTATAGAAAAGAAATGGAAATAATCCTCATATTGTAGTTTGAGAAATTAAGGACAGCTTGAAATTCTTGTAATGATTAAAGTTTCATGCTTACATGAGTTTTCAGGTTATATCTTTCTGATTCTTTAAATCAGTAGTATCTATTGCTTTCTCTTATGTTTTTCAAAGATAAATAAGGAATATTTTTGTTCCAAATTTTCATTCATTTTATACATTTTTGTCCTTTAGTGGAATCTATGGCAACAGCACCACCAGAAGGCAGCTTTCTGTGTATCTTTCATTTTGAAATACCTGTGATGTTCTGCAAGGCAGGGTAGGGTATAATCATGTTAAATAGTGAATTTATGTATCAGAGTAATATTTTATATATAAAATACTTTTTTAGCTAGTTTTTTTTTCATCACTTACCTGTTAGTCTGATTTCCAGATTCATTAGAGTCATGTTACTGACTAATGAATCTGAGAAACCGTCGTGAATGTAAAGGCACATAGATCAATCATATTGCTAAGTTGCAGTTAGAGCAGATGTCATTAAACAACTATAAAATGGATATACTAAAACTGAATTTTATATTCTGTGGTAGTTTACCCCAAACAGCAGAATATATGCTGTCAGGAGAAAACACTGAAATGTAAGTTATTTAGCGGCTGCTGTAAACTATGACAGCCAGAAAGGAATAAAATCTCTTTGAATATTATACATTACCCAGCATAGCTATCAGTTATAAATATGAAAAACTTCTATTTTAAAATGGATTTACTTTGAAGGGGAATTGTAAACCCTTGCAAAATGTGTGTGGAGTACAGTTTCAAATCAATAGTATGTGTACGTAAAACTAAATATTTTAAAAGATTTTATTTGAACCATGTCTTACCTGAATGTTTCCTTAAATCTTAAGATCTATGAAGATCCACGTTAGCTTTGCAACACTATGAAAGACACAGTTCTGTATATTGCAGAGTTTAATGTGAAGTTTATACCCACACATATACACATTATCCAAGAAAATTTGCAAAGCTTACAAACCATTTCCACTTAAATGCCTTGATTTATTCTAGAGATCCAGTAAGACCTTCCTGCCTGTCAGGGAATTGTACCATTCAGCTTCTTGGGTAGTTGTTTCCATGCTTCAGGCACCACTTCAGATATAACACAAACATTCTGGAGAAAGATCATCTATAAGGGAGTTCCCTGCTTCTGAGTCAGAAATGCAAAGGAGAAGGAAGATTCTCCAGGATAGCTCATTGATATATCCTGGAATCTTGTAGTGTATGATGCTGCATTAGCAGACTCCATATAACGCTCACCACTAAGACCCATCTTTCAAATAAGGAATACTCACAGAGAAGTAAGATTAGTTGTTCCCCAAGCAACTTCCGAAATATAAATTCAGTCACATAAGTCTTGATCTGCAAAATATTTGAAAGAGTACTTCCAGGTTCATACCTAATTTGTGGAAGGTCTTCTGACCTCCTTTGTGAGTTTTCAGAAAAGAAAGCCACTTAACACAGAAATAGTCTGGAAGAACTGAAGTCTGACAGACAAGAGGAGTGATATTTAAATCCAGTATTATTCCAACTGAGAGCTCAGTTTGACAACCCCTGGAGGGATCTGTTCACATCAAGTCAAATTGCAAAACTAAAGGAGAGTATTCTTTACTATGAAATGAGGCTAAAAATTATTTAGACAGATATTCTGGTTCATAGACTGACTAATTCACTCTCTGTCTCGTCCTCAATCTTCCACTAGCCATCATGTAGGAATTGCACTATCCACCACCAGGCAGTGAGTCATATTGGGCAGTAATTAAGATGTCATTCATCCTGAACATGTGTTTTACAACATCTCTTCCTGTTTTCTGAAACCATGAGAACATACTTGTTTTTATAGTGATTTCTGTTTTTAAAAAATTGCTTATTATTGTTTTAGCATTTAATGTACTAAATTGTACAAGTCTTGTTAATGTATGCTTGTATTTTCACTCCTTTTGCACATGCTTTTGCTTCAGTAATTTGTTTAGAACTGCTTTTGAGGTGTGTGATAATGGCAGGGGGAGCACTACATAAATTCTGAGAGAAAATGTATTTATGAATTTTAGAATTCTTGAATTTTTATACCAGTTTATGAATATTGATCTTTCTTGCAAATAACTGGTTTTAATGCTTTAACCCAAATGTAGTTTGAAACCTTTGGGACACGTATACATGATGGGTAGGTAAGATTTGAAGAATGTGGAACATTAGCGTCTTTTGTGTGAATATTCATACTGTTGGCTTAATCCAGGTTTCAGAGGAGCAGTGACATCGAGAATCATATGTGCTTCAGCAAACTTCAGTTGGGACTGCTAAGCTTACTGTTAATGGTGCTTCTGAGGAGAGAGGAGCCTGCCAGCCCTCTTAGCACTGACTCTGTATTTTCTCCAGCGTGGTTGGTGCTGCACAGGTCCTACTAAGAGTTCCTGCACCATGCTTCCTATACACATTCAGTCTAACAGGACTTTGCCACCCTCCGTCTCTGAAGTTTCCTGACTCTGTCCCAACACTCTCACAGGCAGTAGAGAAATGACTGTATGGTCAACTCCATTAATTCATATGTATTTCCACCCAAACAAGAATGATCTATTCAGTTATACTTTTGCACAGTTAGAATCTGAATATCAGTTTTTAATTTCACAGATAAGAAAAGAGACTGTAAAATTCTAATATCAGAAGCTATAAATGCATATGCTCATACAAGATCTCTTACATACCACTAAACATTCTATTATTTTTTGTTTTCCATAGCCTGTCAGTCAGGAGCATCACTATCAGAGAGAAATGAGCCCACTTTCTCATTCCAACCCACGGTAAGATTCCATTTATAGCCCAGACAGTAAGGATTCAGTTAGAGTGTTCTGAATATTAAATGTGACATTCTTTGATGTAATCTTCAGTCTCTTTTCAATTGCAACTTCCTCTCAGAGGGCTTTATTGCTCGTTTTAGTCATTGTCTGCAGGATGTCTGCGCTGTCCGGGAACGCAGAACTGAATTCTGCATGTTTTGGATGTACCACTGTGTATTTAAAGTATCTGACACAGGCCTTGCTCCTACATCTGCTTTGATGCGTGATTCAGCAAATCGTCCTCATCTGACGTACATGCACTCTCATCCATTTCTTTTTCTCTCTCTCCCTCTCTGCTTTGAAGGTTTAGAACTAGAGTTCTGTATGTGACTGTAGGTGTCAGGGAATCCATTTGTTCCAAAAGATTTTAATGTTATTTATTGAGAGAGGTTTTTTTCAATAAATAGCCCGCTCAGGAGAGGGTGTTACAACACTGTGGGATAGTTCAAAGAATAGTCTACAGTGTATTTTGTCTGTCAGGTTTTTAGATTGATCTGCTTTGTTTGGAATCAGCAATAAAATCCCTGTAACTTTAATGTAAGGTGAGATGAAGACAAGGGAAGAAGGTGTCTAGGGGGAATTAATCAAATTGAGACTATTGAGACAATCAAGATTAATTGACCAGTTTCAGAACTGCCTTATACCTGTGAAACCCTAACATCACTTTGTCAATTTTTTAACTGCCTGAGCAAGAGGGGTACTTACTTTAAATAGCAGTCCTATTTCACTTTCACTTGGTGTCATTAATGTGGATTTTGTTTGTCCAGGTTTTAACTGGGCAATGTGTGTGGTTTTGGAGGGGTAGGAGGAGGGGGCATTTCAGATACAACTTCTTTATGTTTTATCAACAGTCTGAGATGTTTTATGATAGCACACTGCCAGGCAGTTGTGCAGGATATTATGTTTTGTCCTCACACAGATGTTTTCAGCCACTTGTCTCGCCATCCATATTTTTATGGATTCAAAATCTTCTGGTTAGATTTTATGATGTGAACACTATGAAACTTTCTGTGCAAGTTCACCCAGATGCATCAGTTTTTGCAATACACAGCCAAATGTGTCCTATTGCACAAAATATATTACTGGAGTTAAAGTACAATCCTGGATTCCTGTTCCCTCTCACATGTAAATGAAAGTGTTTATGTTGGTCTGGAAAACCTCTCTGCCTTGGGGGATGGCTATCAAAGGAACCATCTCCTTATGAATTGTTGAATGGATGAAGTGGACAGAGACACTTGACTGTAGTTCACAGAGTACAACAGCAGATACCTTGAGACTGCACCTTTGACTCTTTATTCCAAAATCAATTCCATAGTTCTGGTGACATTAGAATTGCCTATATCTTAGTGCAAGCTACATTGTTAGTCTTGTTTTTGCCCATACATTGGTTGAGTCAGGTTTCATTAAGTTATTTTTATGCTTGTGCTAAAGCAATTTGGTACTCAATACATTTTATATACTGAAAAACAGAATAAACACCATTATCTGTACAAATAAAGTGTTTCATCATATTAAGTTAATATGCTCAACAATGAAAACTTGTATTTCCATATAGTAAAATTTAAAACAAAATGGTATAAATTACGACTTAGTTCATATGCTGTTTTAATCCAGAAATCTAGAAATCATTTTCAGGAAATGCAGGTGAAGTATTCGTAAAATACCTGACTTGCAAGTGCCTCATAAATTCAGTAGCCCTTGTGAACTGCCAGAAAAGCATTATTGGGCTGTAAATACGGAAGATGACAAAATTATGAGGTCAGTTTGCATCGTGATATAAAAACTGGAGATGATGTGACTTGAATACCATTATTCACATCGTTACCTTTCTTTTATAGTGGAAAACTCTGTAATGTTTTTCACAGAGGATGTGTACCTAAATGAGAGGGAGATAAAATTAATGGTAATTCTATAACTTAGTTCCTAAACTGGTTTTAAAGCCAATTTTAACAAGTGTTATGAGCAACTAGAAAATGTCTAAAACTTTGTAAGCCTGCTATAGTTATGTAGGGAAAACACAGACTATTTGAAAAATTGATACATCCTTTTTAGATGTGTGGGTGTAAATGCCATGGCAAGAAGACAGTTACGTGGTGCATTTACTGAATCAACAAATTGTTGTAAAGAGCGATAAAGAGTTTGACAGGTCTCCAGTAACTTTAAAAAGTGTAGTGGTGATATTTTCTGGGAAATGAAAAGAGACCAGTCTGGAAGCTATTGTCCAGTAAATGTAGGTTCTGTCCTTAATAAGATAAAAGAACAAGCCAGGAAAGAAAGCTCCTGTGAAGATAATGGAAATTCAGTCAATAAAAAGACCCAGCTCGACTCATTGTCCCTTGGTTTTGCTGGGTAAGGTCATAAGTCCGCCAAGGATATTGCTGCTGCAATACAAATCACCTCCACATCGTGCTGCTCTGCAAGGCAGAGAACCAGTTAATGAAAGGAGACAGGAGAGTACAGAGGCTGCAGAGCCAGAAGAGTGAGAGGATGTGCAGCGTTCAAGCCTTGGCCATGCACTTCCCACTGACTGATGCGCTGTGTGGTCCTGGAAGAACTTCAGAATTGCTTTCTTCTCTCCAAATGGGAAGGTGTAACTATCTCTGTTACTTCTTCCTCCAGTGCAGGGACTGGGAACCTGCATTTGTTACAATTGCTGTGTAACCTGCATCTACTTAGTAAGCATCCAAAATATTTGTATGTCGTAGAAGGCTTGGAAGTTTCATTAAAGGAAATGCTGAAAGACAGTGAATAATCTAGAGGAATTTCAGCCATACTGAACTGTGGAAAGCAGAGCTGCTGTCTGAAAAAGATTGCTCGAACCTAATTTATTAATAGATTTTTAGAAACTTCTGTAGATGCTCTCCAGAAAATTTATTTCTGATAAAAGCTGATTTTTCTGTCTTGGAGAAAGGGTGTTTTTTAATGAGTTGAAACCTATCTTTATAAGCATTGCCTCACTAGATCCTCTCTTGGCATCCTACTCAACTCTTCCCAAACTACCAAATAAAATTTGTTCCTTTGGAGTTCAAAGTTGTTCCCCAGAAACTGCACTAAAGTAGGGCCCAAATATTTCAGCATTTCATTGGGTGTCCTTTCACAAGAAGCTTATTTTACTTAAGTAATTTCATACAAAATGTGAATGGCCAATTTTTCAGTTTGGTTTTACCCAGATGTTTAACTCTGCATGTTGAGAAGAGTTGTATTCCCACAGTGAATTGTGAGCACAGAGACTGATGATAGTAAATGTCTGCCTTATTGTAACCTACATTTGTTGCATTAGACCAATTGAGATATCATCATTATTCTTTCCTCTGCAATTAAAAAACCCCCAAAAAATGAAGAACAGCAACAACAAAACCCACCCAAAGAAAAGCAAATAACATTTTCTTCCCTTTTTTGGTAAATGTTATATGTTTGATATTTGTAATCACGAAAGAAATATTTCATTGATGTGGAGAGTGATGTGTTGGAGGAGGACAATAACTATAAACTTTTCAGAAAAAATTTTGGTTTTACCTTAAGGAAAAAAAAAAAGGCAGAACCCAAATCCTTAATTGCAACTTTATCAAACAATGGGATTTTCTTATTTTTGCAATGATATGCTTGCACAGTAATTCAGATAATGAATCATGGAGTGAATAAACATGTTCCTTTAACTAAATACATTTTTAAATTCTTTTCAAACTTGATTATTGGTAAAATATAGATTTATTAGTTATAAATATAAATTATATATACATGTAATAAACACCTCTTCCTGTGTGTAACTCTGACCACTCTATTGGTCTCAAGAAGTAAATTATTTCTTTTTCTTTGGAAGTTTCTGTTAGAGAAGTCTTTTTTTCAGAACCTATTGTTGCCATATATATTGCCATTATCATGGCACCTGAAATTTGCATAATTTGCATCCTACCAGCAATTCCAGCACAAAAACACATTTACTGTAAACTCTCAAATTTAAAAGTATGCTCAGCTTAGAGACTACCATTCAAGTACTCTCATCCATCCCAGATGAAAACTAAACATTCCAATAGCTGGTGCATATGTTATTATACCATTGAGAGATTCTATAAGATTAAACTCACTTACAAAATGGTGCAATAAAAGAAGGATTGTAGCTATAACATTTATTTGCACTGCACCAGAACCTTTCCAACGTGCACGCTCTGAAATTTAGACACAAAAGGTCTTTGTCTCCTGTATTTCCAAGCAAAGGTTTGAATAGCAGAATAACTTAGTTAAGAAGCACATTTAAAGACTGAGTTTTGCAAAGAAGCATATTTATTTTTATGATTCATTACAAGATCAAGGCCATACAACCCCATTACTTTTGCAAAACAGACAATATTACATTATGAAGTATTATAAAATTACACAACAGTTGTCAAAATAAGTGAACAAGAACAATGTATCACAAAATGTACTTTGGTTTTTATTTTACTTGTTCAGTTACTTACCCACAAAATAGAGTAATTTGCAATAGATCTCCCACTCGTTAATCTGAATTAGCAAAGTTCTGCTGCATTTGTCAGGCTATAATGTGCACGAAAAAGAACATGACAAAAGAAGCAAATGGCACAGGAACCACCTAATTGAACAGGTTACATTTTTTAATCATGATGGTAAAGAGCTTAGCTGCAGAACGGTTGTTGAGAACCAAGTGACTAACACATAAAAGCTTGTTAAAATAATCCAAAAATGGCTTTCCCTTGTATGGGAGTCTGAGAACATGGAAATGTGGCAGCATATACACTAAGGGTTTCAATATGAAACATGGCAAATACTTTCAAACATGCTGTAATATCTTGTTATATCTGTTATTTCTGTGTTAAGATAAAGTAGGGGGTTTTGGGGGGTTTTTTTGTAGCTTCAAGACTAACTGAGAATAACTTTTATTGATTCCACACTTTTTCTGGATATTCCTGGGCCATTCAAACAAAGTTCTCTGGCCTTGCTTATACACA